TGGAGGACCGGGGAGAGAGGCAGTGTCAGAGTGTGTCAGGGTCATCGCTGGTGGCTTGGAGGACCGGGGAGAGAGGCGGTGTCAGGCTGCTGTGGTGGAGACCTCTGACTGACATCCCCCTCTCAGAGCTCTAGTTACGGTAGAGCCCTGCTTCTCTGCTAGAAGGACACAGCTGCACCTTAGTGCTGCCCCTACATTCAGAGTGTTCAAGGTTTTCTAGAATGGGAAAATGGAATCTCAAAAGGCATGAAACCAAAACTGTCTCCTGCCCCGCACCCAATTCTAATATTTAAGCACAGAGTTGTGCCTGGAAGAATAATTTCATATGATTCTCTGTCTTCCTAAGTTTTACCAGTTTCTTGGACTTCACCCATTGTATTCCCATTGCCTTGATACCGCCGTATCTAGTTGCCTTTGAAACCACTTCAGAAGGTGGAGGCATTCTTAGTGAACTTTATTGTGCACCAAGGAAACAGAGAAGGGGGGAAATCACTCCAGAAAATCTAAGTAGCATCGAAACAGCTTGCATTTCAGTGGCAGAGGAGTGGTAACCAGTGTAACAGTGTAACAGTGTTCTTGGCCTGGTGGCCTCAGCTGCCACATTAGGATGAAATTCCCTGGAGCGGATTTAACCTACCCATCTTACATTGTATCCCAGGCCAGCACAGTTATTTCCTTTAATTATTAAAGCCAATTCATCTTAGTTTGTACCTGCTAGACCTGGCAAGAGTTGTCCACCGAGTTTCAGTCCAAGTGACAATGACATGGCAAACAGTCTGTTTTCCTGGCTTATGGAGTGTTTTGTTTTATGACAACTTTTGCAAAATCGCTTCTCAGTCCTAGGAGGAAGGAATTCAATTAATTTGGTGTCTAAATACCTGGCTGACTCTTTCTCACTCTTGATGAAGACCAAGTATTGAATTGAGCCAGTGACTCTTCTCCATCCCCAATCTGTGACCAGATTCACAGCTCCCATTCTTGGGGTGGGTTTCTAGACAGCAGTCTGCTGGGACTTGACTCACCATCTTTCCTGTCTGTACTTAGGTGTGTCTTTAAGTGAGCATCCTGGTGAGCTTCCAGACTGTCAAACATAGCAGTGAAACCTCTTCAGACCAATCAGTAGTACAGGGGCAATGAGGGATGGGGAGATCATGATGGTCCAAGCTGATTCTAACCTTGAAAAAATTAGAATTACAACTTAATTTTTGTAAGACATATCATAAACAGAATTAATACAGATTTTTAAAATTTTAAAAACAAAATAGATTGGCTTAGACATAATTTGGGCCAATATAGTTAGGCAAATAAAAACAAATTAATTTTAATCATTTTTCACTTTATAACACTTGCTTACCATAGTAGCCACAGAAAGATTCTGAGCTGAATCGCATCCCAGCCATTTGTCTACTTGCAGCATGTGACTTTTGTTTCTGTACTTTTCATTTTAGGAAACTGACCCAGACTTTGATCATTGCGCAGTCTGCATAGAGAGCTATAAGCAGAATGATGTCGTCCGAATTCTCCCCTGCAAGTATGTCAACTTCATTTGTTTGAAAAAGAATGATATTAGTGTGCTTTGTATGCCTCCTTTTCAGAGTGGGCATCTCCCTTGCTTTTGAGTGCCCCCCACCCCGTGGCTTTCTGGAGGCCACGTCCGCTGTGCGTTGCTGGCCATGGGGCTGCGGCCGGCAGGGAGTGGTGCTGCTCAGCAGGTGCAGGCTTTACAGCCTTCCTAGGTGTAGCCAGTATGCGACGTGCATGCGGCTTCCGTACTCCCCAGACACAGCCTAGGAGTGTTGAGGTTGAGAATTCTTGTTCTGTGGTTTCAATCGTCTTTTTACGTTTGTTTTCTTTCTTTCTTTTTTCTTTTCTTTTTCTCTTTCTCTTTCTCTTTCTTTTTCTTTTTCTTTTTCTTTTTGAATCAGAGTCTCGCTCTGTCACGCAGGCTGGAGTGCAGTGGTGCAATCTCAGCTCACTGCAAGCTCCGCCTCCTGGGTTCAAGCAATTCTCCTGCCTCAGCCTCCCGAGTAGCTGGGATTATAGGCACCCACCACCACGCCCCGCTAATTTTTGTATTTTTAGTAGAGACAGGGTTTCATCATGTTGGCCAGGCTGGTCTCGAACTCCTGACCTCAGGTGATCCACCAGTCTCAGCCTCCCAAAGTGCTGGGATTACAGGCGTGAGCCACCTCACCTGGCCTGTTTTCTTTAAAGATGGGGTTCTTGCTGTGTTGCCCACAGCTGAACATGAACTCCTGGACTCAAGCAGTTCTCCTGCCTTGTCCTCTCAGAATGTTGGGATTACACGCGTGAGCCACTGTGCTCGGCATTGATTTGTGATTCATGTAGGTTTCAAACACAGTCCCTTGTTCCTATCCATCTTAGACTACATTGCTAGGCCCTTCAGTGAGACTTCCATCGAGCTCACCTGGCTCTGGGTACAACAACTCCAGGGACTTGGATTAAATATTTTTCTAAACCTGGATTATGCAAAATGGAGAGAACTGATACCTGCTTTGTGCCTGCTCTGGTTCAGGTGCTCGCTCTGAGCAGACTATACTCACCTTCTCCTATAATTCTCTCAGCAGTCCTAAGAGGGTGTTTTTCCCCGTTGTACAGTGAAGGATGGTGAGCCAATAGCAGGTTCCAGGGTTGCACATTCAGAAATGGCAGAGCTGTGTCAAGGCCTGCCTTTAATGTTGTGCTCCCCACATAGGACCCAGGCTTCCCTCTGTGAGGAGAAGTTTCGCCTGTGCCTGGGTGCCCTGAAAACAGCATATTGGTTTCTCCCATGGCTCCTCTCGAGCTGGGGAGTATGAAACCAAGATACACAGTTCTGAGTGTCAATTGGATAAATAGGAAATCACCTGCCAAGAAGCCTAAAACCAAAGAGTTTGCCTCTTCTCCCGTCTATTTAAAAGACATCCACACAACTCCAGCCTTATAATATGGAGCATGTGAATTAATAAAATAATTGTGAGTTGTTATCTCCATGAGGCTACCGGTCTTATTTTACTTACAAAGCATCTATTTTGAGTCTAGGAAAATCTGTTTTTTTTAAAAAAAAAAATCAAACTGGAGAAGAATTACATATACTGAAACAGAAATCCAAGATTCTAGAAGTCAAGTCATTCTAGTTTATGTATAAAGGAAAATCTATAAAACTAAATGTAGGCTGTCCTATAGAAAATTAAACTATGGAACAACCAGTCTTCCTTCACATGCAGTCATTGATGGTCTAAATGTGAGGCTAAAGGAAATGCACACGCAAGTGCAAATCAGAAGAAGGGCCAGCGGGACACAGGGAGGTGTCATCCACACTTGCCTGCTTCAACACTGGAATGACCAGGAGAAGCCAAGGCTCTCCAAATTCTGTCTTGCTATTTCAGCCCACGATCCTCTAGAACCATATGGTACCTAAAGATGAGGGCCTCCAAAACCATTCATGGGCATTACTAAAATGAGGGGGTCCTCAGGAGAGGCTCGGCCTAAAGTAGGTTATTCTGGGAGCTTCATCCCATTATCTTCATCCCTTCAGTGTTGACTTTTCCACAGTTTCATTTGGAGTTATCTTTTTCCTTTTGTATAATTTTTATTTTTTGTAGAGTTGGGGTCTCACTGTGTTGCCCAGGCTGCTGTGAACTTCTGGCCTCAAGTAATCCTCCCACCCTAGCATCCTAATGTGCTGGGATCACAGGCATGAGCCTGATGTCTGTCCCTCTTCTTAAAATTTAGTTCACTGCTTTCCAGATGTGACTGTGCATCAGAGTCTTTAGGAGGCTTTCAGAAACATCCCGAGTGGAGGCCAGGCGTATGCACTTATATTATAAGTTCCTGCCCGATTCTGATGCTGCAAGGCCACGCCCTCCAGCAAGGTCCAGGCCATGGTTGATCTGAACCATTTCTGCAGCTGCACCTGCCACCATAGAAGTGGTTTGTGTTTGTGGTCTGCTTATGAGTGTTAGAATTTTTGGCATACTTCTTTCGTTGCACCCTCTATGGTACTGTCACTCGGCTGTCTTTCAGGACTGGGTCATTGTGTTACTATCCGTGCTCACTGCCCTGGCCGAGTGTAGAGTTTTCCCTGTTGCTGTGGAACTGAGCGGCTGTTTGTTCCTCTGACGCCCCCTGCGTCACCAAGCTGTAACTTTCCCTAGACTGCACCGCACAGCCTGCTCATCACAGCACCCCATCTCACTGCCACGTAGCAACAGTGCAATTATCAGGTGTAGTGCAAGTTAACTTTATACATCAAGCAGTACTTGTGACAGTCTTTAACCTAGAGCAGCATTTCTCCACCTTGGCACTGTCGACGTTTGGGACCAGGTCATTGTTTGGGGGTGTGGGCATTGCAGTGTCCTTGGCCTCTACCCACTAGGTGTCAGTAGCACCCACCCACACACAGTTGTGACAACCAAAGCTGCCTCCAGATGAGAACCACTGAGCTGAGGATGGCTGTGCGCCTCTTCAAGCCTCTCCTCAGCAGATGCCACTCGCAGAGCTGCACCTTCGCTGTCGCCAAGCTGCCGCTTACAGAATTCCTTCTGCCTTGGGACGCCTCCCCGCCCCTAGTGTCTTTGAAGCCAGAGTCGGTGTCACCTGCTGTGGCTCTCTGTACCTCATGTTGCTAAGCGGTTCTGCTCCCTCACCATCCTCCCACGGGACTGAGCTGACTTGGCAGACAGAGCCTCCCCGTCGGGCCTGCCTCTGCGCAGAGCCCTGCCCCCACCTGGCTGGCGTCCCGCGTTCGTCACAGCAGCACCTGCAGGTGTGTTCACTCTACTTCAGCACCTTAACTCACACGCTTACTCTCCACTCTCAGAGGACCCCTTCACCATCGACTTCCCAGAGGAAGCAATGGGTGGAATTCCTTGGCCTGCTGACCCGGGCACTCAGGCTGGAGAGGCCGTCTGCTGTGGTCCGCGCCGCTCCTCCCCGCGCCGCTGCGTGCCTGCTCTCTCCCTTCCTCAGGGTCTCGTTCTGTTGGCTGGCTGCTCCTTCCAGTGTTCTGTCTCCACTCGCCGGCATCTCGTCACACTCGTATTTCCCAGTCCAGTTTTTAAAACTGTCTTTCAAAGCCATCACCCTCCAAGTACCGCCCCACGGCCTCTCCTGTCATACCTGCCCACTGCCTCTCCTCCGTGAGGGAGGGAGATGGGCCTGGACACCTTTGTGTGCATCTTAACAATTCACAAGCTCAGGTAGGGCTTTCTATCCAGAACTGTCCAGCCTCTCAGGGATTGCCTGCTTCTTGCCACGTGACCTTTCCTTTTCCTCTTCTGTCGCACTGTTTACTGTGGACAGGTGGCAGTTGGCATGGTGGAAGGGCCTGCTCCTCGGCTCAGTGATCACAGCTGATTCTCCTTTGGATGTTAGCCAGGAGGTCTTAGAAACTGAGGAACTGGTCACCTCGTCTTATTTAGACCTCTTAAAGGTTAGTCATAGGAGTTTTTAGTAGTTAGAAGTACTTTTTCAGAAGTGGAGTGCTGCAGCGTGGATGGATGAACGTATGTTTCCATGCCACTTTGGGAGCTAAAGCGGGGGGCCGGCACTGCAGATGTCTGAGGCTCCACTGCAACGGAGGGCCTATAGAGACAGTGACTGCCGCCAGCCCCAGCTAGCAGAAGAGAGTTTGTCTGTGACCTTTAATAATTCTGCATCCTTTTATATTTGCCAGGTTCTTAAACGGCACCAAGAGGCTGCAGAGCTGTGAGAGCAACTCACCTTCCTCCCACAGAGCCTCCCCTCCCACAGCGCTCTTCCACTCACTCTAGTTTATGGCATGTGTGGGACATAGGAAAGGGGAGGGCACTGAATTTCATTATTGCTGGGTTTGTTCCTTTCATGTTTGTTTCTCATTCTGTATCCCAAAGTATTTCTCATAGGAATAAAGGACTTGTTGAAGTTCGGTATGCTTGTGCTTTTCATGTTTCACTGTCCACATGTTACCTGCTTTCTGTCCCAGTGCACCACCCACCCACCCTATGTGTGGCGGGCCTGTTCTGCATTTATGTGTGTTTTATCACGTGAGTGGGGAGCTTCTTTTCAAGGCCCCACTTGCCCCAGGTGTGTCTTTCTGAGGCCTCCTGGGTGTCCATGGAGCACCTTCCACAGTGAGAGCCCACAGCCATAGTGAGGGCAAGCATGGTTAGGCGTGCAGGAGTGTGACCAGTTGGTGGGGCTGCTCTGCCCGTGTGGTGGCCCTGCATGTGCTCAGCCTTGGCACTTCTCTGAGTGGTCCACACGCTGTGTTGCATTGACTGCTCCAAACACCTCCCCAGGTAGATTAAACGCCCCGGCCCAGTCCTTAGCTGAGAGCTCTGCACGGCAGAAAGGTGGTTTGCCAAGCACCACACCGGTGTAGCAGAACTTTGCCTAGAAGGGAAGGAAAGGCCACGGTGAGTTCAGTGAAAGTTGCACTGAAGAGACCAGCAGGAGGGTTAGACAGTGGGTGATGGGGGACAAAGTACCGCATTCAGGGCAGCTGCCTGTGGAGATCACAGAAGAGACAGGAAGGAGAGGAGGGCCGTGGGTGAAGAGAACAGCCACCCAGCTTTGTTAGTGAAAGCGAGGGATGTGCCGTGGGAATTTGAGACTGAAGATCTCTGGGTGAGTTACACGGAAGCTGGACTAGTGGGGAATTTGGAAAGATAATTAGGAAGGAAGGGTGTTTAGTGCTCTGAGGTAGGGGTCAGGGGTAAGAGAGAGATGGGGTGGATGGAGAGCCCAAAGACCAGAAATATTTCAGGTTTTCGGTTAGCTAAAGAAGGAAGGTTTTCTAAATTTGTCGCCAGAGAACCAGTTGGTCTTTTCTGTTTTTCTTCATAGTACCTTACAGCCTAGAGGAGAAATTTTTAATTGTTTAGTAAAACAGAGGGGCGGACACTTCTTTTATATCAGTAATCCTGGAAGGAAACAGTTATTGAAGAACCCAAACATATTTGTAACTAATTTCAGGTTAAAGAAACAGGCAGAGAACACTGAACTCATGCAGCTTTAGAAAGAAAATACAAGGATTATACCATTTGCTTCTTTCGGAATAAAGAAAGACAGGACGATCAGAAAAGGGAAAAGCAAAAACGCCCCAGTAGGGAGCACCAGGACCACACCTCTATCCCCCCAGGTGGCTGCTGCGGCTTTACCAGGTCTCCACCAACAGTTCAGCGAGCCCAGCCACCCCCCAACCCCATCTGGATACCTCTCACTTCTGTACCAGAGCCCCGATCAGAACACAGCACCTAGGCCTCCCCCGACCCCCAGCGGGATACCTCCCATTCCTGCACCAGAGCCCTGATCAGAGGTCACAGCACCGTATCTCTTCTGTTACCTGTCAGTTGGCCAAGTCCCATCATCCGCCCTGTGTAGGCCTGACCTGCAGCACCTCCGGCCACCCCACGCTAGTGCTAACCCAGTGCACAGGTCGTACCCCTCCTGAACATGTATGCAAGGTACCAGGCATTTGCGTCCGTGTGACTTTCTAGAGGGAGGTTCTGTAATTTATATCAGATCTAAGGCAGTTTGTATTCACCAAAAGGGTTAAGAAGCTGTTGTGGTCTTTGCTGGTCAGCAGCCAGCATTAGTGCAGTTGACCCCTGCTGGAAAGGCCAGGCTGGCCCTGGGGACACCCTGTAGTAAGGAACCGCGCCACACAGGCTACGAGGAATAAGACAGGATGCCTTAGGCGTACTGAATGTATTTGGGGCTTACCTATGGATTGGTGGGTTTCCAGCCCTTAAGTAAAAGCTTTAAGGTTTAAATAAATGCCTTGGGGGTGATGGTTCTGGTTATTTCATTGTCTGCGAATTTAAGACTAGACTGACAAATCCATTCTTCAAGATCTTTACTCTTGTCCCCAAAGAAATGAGCGTAAGGCCGTCAAACAGTGATAGGCAGACATGTGCGTATATTGTTCAGGCCGAAGTTGTAAGTTGTAAGCATGAACGTCTGTTCCAGATCCCAACAGAAACGGAGTTTTCTAGACCTCTTTTTTATAAATCAAAACTGCATTTTAAAACAGCTATAAATAACATTAACTTGGAAATTGACAATCAAAGTTGTAAAGGTATACCGTGGTTCACTTTGGCATCTTACTCAAAACTTTCTTTTATCTTATCCCAAACTCAGATTAGTGTTTCTTCCAAAGCTGCCCTGAATGTCTGTCCTGGCACCCACCTTCTCCCTGTTTGGCCAGGACTCTAGGGCTTCGGAAAACTGCTGGGCCAGGTGCTAGAGCTTGAGAAGTGATTTCTGCAGCTCCTGCAGTCTTTCTTCCCTTCCAGAGGGCACAAGTTCCTTTTTTTAAGAATGCAGAACCCTCTGACTGACTTATTTCCAGTCACAAGGCTGTGGCTTTCTACTTTCTTCAGTAAGACAGAAAATCACCCATCCTCCCCCTTTAACATTTCGGCTGAAAATTGCTAAGTGTTACTTGAATCTAGGCACAGTTTACCCCTTAAAATAGTTTCAACTTCCCTGTAGCTTTTATAAACATTCAACACAAATTGCTCAGAAGTTTTTAAAAATGACATTCAAACAGGGGTCCATAAAACTAATAACTATACAGAGAACTCTTTTCATTTAACCATGATTTAATATCTTTTTGAAATTCCATTTTTCTATGTTAGCTATTGTAGAAAGCATAACTGGTTTATAAAGTGTGATTGTTTTCATTCTTAATAAATTTTCTAAGTTTCCATTAGTCCTTTTTGGATTTTGGTAAAATAAAAGGTCCAAACAATCAGATCCTACTTACTAGTTCTTCCACAGTGTTGTACATATGAGGTTGGGTTCAGGAGATTTTCTGCAAGTTATATTTTAATAAATTCCCAATATTTGTCTCTTGGGGCTTAAAATATGTTCTGAAAGAGGGGGAAACAGACTAAAAATTCCCTTTGTTTCCATTTTGGCCTAATAAATTTCTCGGTGTGTAATTTGTGACATAACTCTGCATTATTTTATAGGCATGTTTTCCACAAATCCTGCGTGGATCCCTGGCTTAGTGAGCACTGTACCTGTCCTATGTGCAAACTTAATATATTGAAGGCCTTGGGAATTGTGGTATGTTTCCTATTTTATTTGTTATCACTTTTATGTATTATTATATGTATGTGTAATACAGTATAACGCAATTGGCATAATAGGAGGCGTGACTAAGACACACAAGAAAACACTGGCTATATTTGCCATGTAACCATGTAAGCCCAACAGGACCTTTTTTCCATATTACTGAGAAGTCTAACCCGTCTCAGAGAACTCCTGGAAGAGAAGGTAAATAACTGTACTAGTCCTTTTTTTTTTCTTTTATTAAATTTAAGAGAGAAGGTTTCACCCTGTGGCCCAACTGCAGTGTAGTGGTGCAGTCATAGCTTACTATAACCTCGAACTCCTGGGCTCAAGCAGTCCTCCCACCTCAACCTTCTGAGTAGCTGGGACTAGAGGCACACACCACCATGCCTGGCTAACTTGTTTTTGTTTTTGTTTTTTTTGAGAGGGAGTTTCGCTCTTGTTGCCCAGGCTGGGTACAATGGCACAATCTTGGCTCACTACAGCCTCTGCCTCCTAGGTTCAAGCGATCCTCCTGCCTCAGCCTTCTGAGTAGCTGAGATTGCAGGCACCTGTCACCACCCCCGGCTAATTTCTTGTGTTTTTAGTAGAGACAGGGTTTCACCATGTTGTCCAGGCTGGTCTCCCTGACCTCAAGTGATCTACCCGCCTCAGCCTCGCAAAGTGCTGGGATTACAGGCATGAGCCACCGTGCCTGGCCACATTTTTATGTTTTGAAGAGACAAGATGTTCAGGCTGGTCTCAAACTCCTGGCCTCAAGTGATCCTCCTGCCTCAGCCTCCCAAAGTGCTGAGATTGTAGGCATGAGTCACCACACCTGGCATGGTCCACTTTTAAAAGTGTGCTTCTGTTGGGTATGAGATGGAGTATGAGATGAAGAAAGAGAGAAGGACATGATTTTTCTTCATTCCAACATCTTTTTTTAAAAGGTAGGCTGTATGCTGTTGACTCTGTTCCAGTCGTAATCTCCTCTGTGCTTGGCATAATATAAAACTATGTTCTTTAGCCTGAAGTTTGACTTTGATCTCTTGGGGGTTGGTAAGTTGCAAGCAGAGAAGGCAGACAGTGCCTGAAGCCCAAGGAGAACTGTTGGCAACCATAGCCTGGCAGGGGCCGTCGCCAGGTGTGCCAGAGTCCGGCTGTGGCAGGTGCCAGGTCAACGCTGACTTGAGTAACCAAGGACCTTGGTTAGTCCTTGCTTAAGAGAAGCATGTATATCCAGGGTTACGCTTTTTTATCAGAAAATAACATAGTTTCTGGTCTCAAAGAATGAAAGAATAATCTCCCTATGGAACAAAAAGTTTAGTTTGATCCAACAGATGAACTCATTTTAGCTTGCAACCCAAAGAAGGTCAAAGTCATCTTATTTTAAATATACTGTCAAACACAGTTTCAGTGTATACAGTTGGGCAGTAATGCCCCATTTGTCCTTTGTCTCCAGAGATCATGTCAGTGGTGATGCCATTTAACATGGGATTACTGAAAGTATTGGGTGTTACTGACACCATGGACTGGAGAATCCCTTCTTGTTGGGGCTGTCTTACTGTGTCGCCCAGGCTGGCGTGCAGCGGCGTGATTCTCCTGCCTCATCCTCCCGAGTGGCTGGGACTATGGGTGCCTGCCACCACGCCCGGCTAATTTTTTATATTTTTAGTAGAGATGGGGTTTCACCGTGTTAGCCAGGATGGTCTCGATCTCCTGACCTCGTGATCCGCCCGCCTCGGCCTCCCAAAGTGCAGGGGTTACAGGCGTGAGACACCGCGCCCGGCGTTAAGTATATTAAGTGCTAATACTTTTCTCCTCTGTTTATAACAAAAATCCTTCTAAAATGTATTGCAGGTTATCATGGATCCTTACATGTAGTGAACATAAAAAAACCTCTTCTAACTGGGTATGAGTCTGAGCATCACTTAGTACACTGTGTTTTGCTTTTTTTAAAATAAGGCTTTGAGATGACCTGAAACGGTTCTTTTGCCCAGAAAGCCATTGGTTCCAGGTTTGCTTGGCTGAAACTTCTCTCTAGAAACATATAAACTTCTCACAGCCATCCCTCCCAGCTCTGCTTCTTATGTGCGGCCTGCTGCTGCATGCTGAGAGAACCAAAGGTTGTTAGGTAAACCAAACATCCACATTGTTACAGTGGAAGACTTTTGGCGCTCACTTTTTATTAGTAGACTTTGGCCCTAAGCAGCTCTATACCTCTCCCTCAGGATTAGGTGCTTAGGTTTTGAAACAGATGATTTTCTTATAGTTCAAAAGTCTTTTCAACTTTGACCTCCTCTTGGTTTGATGCTTTACTTGTGTTTAAAGGCAGACGATACTTAAAAACTGACTACCAGAGAAATGGGGCTTTCGGAGAAGTTTGTAGGATGACAGAGGTGTTTTCTATTACCTGGGATTCTTCAACACGGACATTTACCATGAAGTAAAGTAATAGTTCACTGTTTTAAACTGGATGTGTGGTATCTTTATGTTAATGATTACGACTCCCTGTGCCTGTGGGCCGTGACCAGTTTTCTCTGATCTGCAGTGAATTTTGGTTTTCCTTTGTACCATTTCTGAGAAGAGATCTCTGTGCCTTTTGAAGAAAAACTCTTAGGGTGAGAGGAGAGGAGTAGGTAGGTGGGCAGATAAATGAGAGGCTATCACAGGGAAATAACTTAGTAAGGTCTTTGCAACAGGGCGTCAGACTTTAGAATCTTATGAAAGGATTTGTTTTCCTTACAATTATTTTTAACCTAGAAATATTTTGCAGCCGAATTTGCCATGTACTGATAACGTAGCATTCGATATGGAAAGGCTCACCAGAACCCAAGCTGTAAACCGAAGATCAGCCCTTGGCGACCTTGCCAGCGACAACTCCCTCGGCCTTGAGCCACTTCGAACTTCGGGGATCTCGCCTCTTCCTCAGGATGGGGAGCTCACTCCGAGAACAGGAGAAATCAACATTGCAGTAACAAGTAAGTGGGGGCCTCCGCTCGGGCACAGAGCATGTGGCTGCCTGTATGGGCATTCGGGACCATCAGGAGAGTGAAGGCACTCGCCTCAGCCTGCAACACAGACTGTGACCAAGAAAGGGATGTGTGTTTCTGTTAAAACAGGTGTTCGGAAGAATGAAACTATTTATGATAAGTAGCTGGTGTGTTTGTGTATAATTAATAGGAATAGCTGCATTTGACGAGTAGCTGTTGAGGTCTGTCTTAGTCGCTGTGTTATAAACCTTGTTTTGAAATCATTGCCTTACAAACAGGCATTTAAAAGGAGATGTTGGAAGGTGACACAGGCCCCCAGCAGCATTGCTGGTGTGTTGTATGCTGTGAGCACTGGTGTTCTCCACCTCCGGGACTACAGGCTACTTAGTGGGAAACTCATCTATAATTTGAACCTAAAAATTCACAGTTCTTGGAACATAGCCTGTTGCGCACTTTATTTTAAGTTTTTTATGGAAGTTTGGTCTCTTGGCACTTAACTCTTTGGTATAATTGTACATGAGGTAGGAGAAAAGCCAAAGGACAGTCTGCCTGAAAAAAAATAGCGTGAGCAAGTTATGAAAATCTTCACATTGCACTGTCGACAAGCAGGAAAGAAATGCCGAGTATTTTGATGGCAGTGCCTGAGGACAGTGTGAGTGAGCTGACGGCGTGTGTGTGGGCCTCACAGACATTCACCCCTCAACAAGCCAGCTTTTCTCTTCACTTCCATTCTTTACATGTTGTTTTCATCTAACAACCTTTCACCCATCTTCCTTGTTGCTGCTCTGCTGTTGCCTTTTCCAGTACCTGCTGCTGCTTGCCTAGAGCGTCAGACCCTGAGGCTGGTGGGACCCCACTCCACTCTGGGAGTGAGTGAAATGGATGACACTGTTACAAAATGTTTTCTCCTTTACATATTAAGACTTGTGTGGTCTGTTCAATCAAAGTATTCATGTTTTTAACCAACCAGACATTATTGTTAGAAAATGGTTCCCCAGGTTTTATTCTGTCATCTGTCTACACTCAAGAGAGCCCTCATTCAGTTATGCAATAGGGAAAACTATGCTTTGAGCGTAGTTTGGCTCATTTCTCACCATCTCTCAGTGATTCATTTTGATAGCATTTCATGGTTTTCTTTCTTTGGTGTTTAGGTTTTGTGGTCTACAGTTTTAAAACTTGATTGAGTGGCAATAAAGAACACAAAGGTTGTTGGTTTATTAGTGAGTTTTTCAGGTCCTTCATTGATCAAACATTTATTGAGCACCTACTACTTACTACATTAAATACTGATCCCATTATATTTTATATAGAAATGTCCTTTCAAAACCTTATGCTTTGATGATACAAAAAATTACTTCATGTACCAAATTAATCATCTTTAGCAGAATTTACATGATGTTAATAAATAAAATTCATGTGATTGAACTAAACCACAGCTACCTCTGCTTTCCCTCTGAAGCTCTGTAGCACCATAGCAACCACAATGCATCCAACTGGCACCCACTGTGTGCAAGGCACTGTGCTAAGTAGGCACTGGGGGCAGAGGTAGCCAGGCCTGCTGCAGGGGGGCACTGTGGAAATGCCACCAGCATATTGGGTGTTTTATGATGGTGTCTACTTCCTTTTGTTACAAGTTTTTAAAATTGAAATCACACACACACACGCAAAGACATGCAAATATGGGATAGTATACTCAGAATTTGGAAACGTAGATGTGGCGAAGTTCTGCAAGGTAGTCTGTGTATCATATGTAAGAGTCTCCAAGAAGAAAAAAGAGGATACTGTGTTAAGTTCCTTGATGGTGATGGCATTCGGCTCTTGATTTTTTTAAATGCCATATACATTTTCCCTAACTTAAAACATTACAGGTAAAAATGGTGGGTTTTATATGTGTTCTTGAACGTTCATGCTGATTAAATAAAAAGCTTCCATCTACTGATGAGGAAGTTTGTAGTTTGAGAGGCAGTGGCTGTACTGATGTCTAAACAGTAGGGGTTTACTAAGCATTTTCATAACATAAGCTAAGGTGGGCAGAGAAGTGCTCATAGAGCACACTCCGGACCCGGAAGTCCTCCAGAGCAGTGCTTCGTGACCTTCTGAAAGTCACCACCTTTAAAATCTAACAAAAGTATGTTTTTCTAGAAAAAGGCCTAGGCACACACAGTTTTGCATGCGGGGTTAGGATTTGTGGAACCCAGATTGAGAAACACACATGTTATATACAGCTTGTGCATAAAATATTTGGCAGTCCACGTGTAAATAGTTCTCTCTTCCTTCTTGCAGATATATAGGTAATTTTATTGTGTAACAGTTTGTTAAAAAAGCCCTAGTCAGTGTACTCTAAGAAATATTTTAGAGTTAAGACTTTTTAGCAAGTCAGATCGGTTCTTAGGTTGTTTTTGAGGTTCTCAATAAATACTGTTTTTAAAATGTGACCTTGACAACACTGGCTCCGAAAAAGTAAGGGAAAATATCTGGATGGAGAGAGAGAGACAGGCTAGATGAAAATCTTTAGAGTTGTAAGCACCAAAGGTTTCCAGCTCTTTGGTGGCCAAGTACCCGGTCAGTCCCCCGCCCTTCCTACTTCTGCGTGTCACAGCCTGGACAGCCAGTGCTGCTCCTCGGCAGTGGGGTCGGGAAGAGCAGTTTCTGGTTTCTTGAGACACCAGTGAGATGTTCTTTTTACATAAATATCCCAAGTAAGCCCATGCGTAAGAGAGAAAAATGTAGCCATGGATGCCGTGGGAGGCCGGCTCGCAGACTGCTGGGAGCACCCACAGGACCTGGAGAACCACTGCTCCGTGCTCCTCAGCCTTTGACTAAGATTGAAAGCCATGCAGAAATGACAGAATGAAGAAGGAAAGAAGGTTATAAATATGCTTAGTCTGCTTTACTGCCATTTACATTAACAATGAAAAAAATCTGTGTCCATGTGCAATTTTATATACATATTTTCACCATACACTTTTTGGTGGCTACACTGCTCACAGACCTCAGGACCTAAATGGAAGAAACGGTTGGGCCATGCTTTCCTTTCTCCCTTGCAGCTTTCACCAGTACTCCACTAACCTTCTCCAGTTAGTAGCTCTCTGGCAAACCTCCTGCTTCACCTCCTTGGGCCAGTCTTGGCTTACACCTCCGTTGACGTCTGCTTCGTTGCATTTGAGGGAAATGTTGGCATCGATTTGACTTAAACCTTCTCCCCAGAGTGATTTCCTCCCTTTCCTTTGTCAACAGAAGAATGGTTTATTATTGCCAGTTTTGGCCTCCTCAGTGCCCTCACACTCTGCTACATGATCATCAGAGCCACAGCTAGCTTGAATGCTAATGAGTAAGTAACAAATTGTTTTTTGGATTGCATGTGCCAGATGATCCCAGGAAAACACATGGAGCCATTTTCACGAAGGTGGTGAGGATTGGCTTTCCACCAGTTTCATACTGATCCTGATGGGATCATATCTAGCAAAATACTTTATTTCATGAACATATATTTTTAGTCAGCAACACAGATTGGGAATCCACCTTATTCAACAAGAACAGCTCATTTGAGAAAAGATCCAGAGGTTTTCATTAGCCACAGGCTTAGAATGAATCAGCAGTGTAATGCAAATGGCAAAAGAACAGTATAGAGTGTAAAAGGCTGCCAGTGTCCTCATCGCTGACGGGAAGAGCCCCACTTTGTGTTCGTCACACTTACCTGGAGCCTTGCATGTCTAGCTTCTGGGGAAGCCCCGGCACCCATACCTGTAGTCAGGACCAGTGCCTCGGGTACTTGGCCTGCAGGAAAGAAGCAATTTAAAAGACCCGCTGTTTCCGGATATTAGGACAACTGTGAGGGGGAAGAGAAAATAAGTCTAAGCACTATCTCCATGGGCAAAATGACGACCAAAGAGCAGGCTTCATGACTGCAGGCTTCACCTCGGTAAAAGGAAGGACATCTGTCAGTGAGGTTGCTTAGTGGCAGGATGGTTTGCTGTAGGGCATGCCCAGGACTGGGAATGCAGGCAGAGGCTGGATGTCGCTTGTCAGGGGTGCTGTAGTGAGGTGTTTTCAGAGGATGGAAGATTGGGCTAGATGACTGTTACGGTCCATTTTGATCCAGTGCTGTTCCAAGAGTAGTTTTCCGTAGGGATAAGGTATAGAAAGGGTTTTTTATTTTTGTTTTGTTTTGTTTTGTTCTAAAGTTTGGGCATTTACTGAGGATATCGTTCAGTCCTTTCTTTTACCAGTATTCATGGAAACTAATTAGAGATGAAAGCAACCCTGGGGCACTGGCCACATTTGAACCTCAGTTGGTGTGGGTGGAATTCACATCATCTCTCTATTCAATTATGTCCTGATACTTTAATTGATGAGTAATAACCAAACTACCTCATGCAGTTGATTTACTTGACTGCCCATTGTCTGGCTATAGAAACAATGGGCAAGTGGCCTCCACGTGCAGTGACATGTGTTACTCGATCTAAACCTGATCTGTGGGCCAGATACCTGCAAGAAGTGCCCGCTGGCATCCGTGAGCCCATACGTGTTGGGGCTCACAGACGTCAGGGTCAGGTGGCATTCCCCAGCCTTCAGAGGAGCACTGCACTGATCCACCAGGTGAACCACTGGCTGCTGCTGTTGGCCACCCATGCAGTTTCCTTCAGCATGGCGCACCTAATTCCTTAGACTCTAGGGTCACACACACCTGGATTTGACTCTCAGCTCCTCCATTTTTCAGTTGTAAGACATGGGCAGTTATATTTATTTGAAGCTCCTTGTAGTCATTCATAAACAGATAATGCTAGGACCATATGGCAGGGTTGTTATGAGAATCAGCATATAAAATGCTTAGCACAGTGCCTGGTACATAAGAAGTGCTCAATAAATGTTAGCCAAGCCAATGCCACTGCAGTGCTGTTGAAGTTCTGTTAGTAAGACGGCCATCTGCCTTTATTGTCTGGGAATAGAATTGAATTTCTTCCATGAAATAGGACACAGAACCATAGCAACTCTGTGAGTAGCTATGATTCAAACCTTGTTTTGGAGGGAAACACTTATTTCACCCACAGCCACCTCTTTTGCTTACTCCCATGCTAACCCATCAGGCAAGGTAGTAATATAAGCCTACTTCTCAAAAAGTTCACAAATGAGTGATAACCAATACAAGCAAATAATTACACTAGGCACTTTTCGAGAAGTATTGGGTAGTTTAATAGTCACCTAACTGTCACTCAGAATCCGTCTGATGTTCAGTTCATTTATCAGATTAAAATGAGAGTTGCTCAGTAGACATGTTACCTATTAGAAATCATAGTATCTGGGCCATAATATTTTAGTTCCATGCCTAAATGCCTGCATGACTCAGAATCTAAGTCATGGATCTTAGATCCATGCCTTAGTCCAGCCCTTCTCCCATTAGCAGTTGTAGAGGGTTGATTTCACAGTTGTTCATTTGGTTGTTATTTCTGTGCCTTCAGTCAAAACCACTGAAGGACAATATTCATGATCCCATTTAGAGAGAAAAATGGAGAGAGTGTGTATGTGTGTGCGTGTTGTGTATGCACACATGTGGATACAAGCAAGGATGGTCACCAGAATATGAATGGTGATTATCTTACATTAGAATCTGGGGCAATGTCTTCTTCAATGTATGCTTTTATGTGTTGTGTGTTTTTTTTTTTTTTAAACAGCATGAATTACTTAATCTTTTTAAAGGCAGTTTTTATTGTGGCAGATTACAGGAAAGATAATAGTACTTTTACCCAATATCTTTTTCTCAAAAATGTCAATGACAAATTCCTAGTGATTTTATTCCAGAAAAAAGTTTATTTTAGCAAATAAATTTGTAATTATTCTTTATTAATGAATTTTTCAACATCTATTTGATTTCTGTTTTTGCCTTTATCTACCAAGAAACTTACAACCAAAATAAGATTTTTTTTTCACCTTAATTGCCCTGGCTTAATTTTCTGAGTAGCCTCATCCATTTGTAAGATAGTCATATATAAACAGATTTCATCTCTTGACATTTTAATGACTGTCTAAAAATTGATACTGAACTTCACCTCTATGCATATACCTACTAGAATAGTTTACTTTTCTGGCAGTGTTACTAGTCACTGTTCTTGTATATTACTATTCAAGCAAGTCCTTGACCCTGTCTACTCACTGTTGAAACCCTGCAGGCACGATGTAAGGGCAGTGTGTGGGACCCAGGCGGTCCAGGGCCCCCTGCCATGGGTGGGTTGCTGACTACACAAGGAGGATCCCCACAAGGGATGCAAGCCCCCATCCCTCCCTCACCATGCTGGGTGCATTTACCAAGGGCTTGGTGCTGTTGGCTTCAATCAGAAGTCCATCAAAAAGCCCTTGGGTTTGGAGTCACTGCCCTTCTATTATGATTAAATACTATTTATTTAAGTACTGCAACTAATTATATATTAAATGTTTTTAGCACTGCAAACAGATCTGGTAAATTTTGAAACTTTGCAAATATAAACAGGATGGTAGTCAAAGAAGCAAATAAATGTAAGGTAAATATATTTATGTATTGGCTTCTCATACCTGTGTTTCTTAGTACCTGGGTAAGCAAGGTTATCGAATTTCAATTCCCAAAAGGGGTCTTTTGCTCTACTTGGTTATTCATATAAACCTTGTGAAATGTCAACATTTACCAACTGATATTTGTGTCACTCTAGTTTTCCCTCAAAATAAGAAAGATAAATATTTTTATTATTTGTATTTGAGGAACATATACAAATATGTAGCAGAGATTTTAAGTTTAATGGGAGGCGTGACTAGGTATCCCCTAGAGCCTTTTTCCAGGTGCTAGATTCTGATTCATAGAAATCATGTTCTAAGATTTGCAGAGAAGGGTAGCTCATTATTCAAGATTCAAAAAAGTCTTGGCATGAGGAAATGAATCTGAAGTGGTAAAGGTGATGAAATAACTAGAGCAGATGTTCCAGTGGCATAACCTGAGATCAGGAAGCCCTGGCTTCTTGTAGCAGGTCCACCAGGAAACTGCTGGTGAGCTTCCTCCTCTTAGTGTAGTATCAGAAATTTATATATATAAACTCCTTTATATAAAAAGAGTTGATGTTTCTATTTTACTCTCAGTATTTCTGAATTATTTTGCTCAGTACTCTTTTTTTTTTTTTCTTTGAGACGGAGTCTTGCTCTGTTATCCAGGCTAGAGTGCAGTGGTGCCATCTTGGCCCACCACAACCTCCACCTCGCGGGTTCAAGCAGTTATCTGCCCCAGCCTTCTGAGTAGCTGGGATCACAGGCACCCGCCACCACACCTGGCTAATTTTTTTGTATTTTCAGTAGAGATGGGGTTTCACCATCTTGGCCAGGCTGGTCTTGAACTCCTGACCTTGTGATCCACCTGCCTCGGCCTCCCAAAGTGCTGGGATTACAGGCGTGAGTGCTCAGTACTCTTTTTAAGAGGAATATTGAGAAACTAGCCCAACATAAAAGGGTCTGCAGTTTTAATTATTTGATGTCTTGGGGATACTTGTTTTGGAAGAGAGGGGACCGGGTGAGATGAGAGGTGTTTCCAGGTGTTTGAAAGACTCTTAAAGATGAGAATAACTACTGTTTATTGAATGCCTTCCAAGATCTTAGTCCTACACTGGTCTCTTTTACCCATATTGCCTGGTTCAGTACTCAAAAGAGTCTCATGGTGACTAACCAGTGCATACAGAGAGACTCTTACTCTGTATTTTTGGAGCTCTGGCGATATCTACAGGGAGGTAGATTTCCACTGGATATACGAAAGAGCTTTGTGGCCTGGCACGGTAGCTCACGCCTGTAATCCCAGCACTTTGGGAGGCCGAGGCGGGCAGATCACCTGAGGCCGGGAGTTCGAGACAAGCCTAGCCAACATGGTGAAACCCCATCTCTACTAAAAATATGAAAATTAGCCGGGTGTGGTGGCAGGTGCCTGTAATCCCAGCTAAGGCTGAGGCAGGAGAATCACTTGAACCCAGGAGGCAAAGGTTGCAGTGAGCCAAGATCGCCCCATTGCACTCCAGCCTGAGTGACCAGAGTGAAACTCTCTCTCAAAAAAAAAAAAAGAAAAAGAAAGAGAGAGAGAGAGAGAGAGAAAAAGAGAGAAAGAAAGAAAACAAGAAAACTTGTATTAGTTAAAATTGTCCATCCAAAACACGGGACACTTTGAAAGCTAGCGAGCCTGCACCAGGACCTAATTCTTCAGACGGAAGCTGCAGGATAGAGCTGTTCACAGGCCGACCTCACGTCAGGTGGAAGGCTGTAAGACAGGACTCATCCTGTGCTGAGGGTCCCTCTTGAATTGTCCGAGGAGTGATCAGAGGCCGAGGAGAGGTGCTGGATTCTCTTTCAGTTACCTCTTTTAGAGCCTTAAATATCAAAAGCAGCGTTTTTCAGACTTTTAAAAAACCATCTCCTGCTGTAAGAGATACATTTTGCATTGTGACCTAGTACTCCCATATGTAACTGAAACAAATTTCACAGACACTTCCCTGACTGCATGCAGTATTCTCTGATGTAGTCAACCCTCTGCCTTGTTGTTAATATTAGTTGTTAACTCCTAAATTGATTTTAAAACCCATTGATAGGTTGTATGCTTTAGTTTGAGAAACACTTGTCTAAAGAATTTTGAATTTTTAGTTCTCAGCCTGATAACCTTTTGCTCACACAACCTGTCTTGTAACAATTCCCAAAAAGATTTAAAATTAACCTCTGTTTGAGGTGTATTGCTGGATAGTGGATCCTCTTCTTTCTCTTAGTATTTATTCTCCTTGTAGCCAATCTGAGTGTGAGAGACATATACACAAAAGAATAAATTAGGGCTTCGAGGGAGTGAGTGACTCTGGAGGGATGCCACAGGAAGAAGGCCACTGGAATTCAAACCCAGCACCTGTGCTTCCAGCCTTTTCCTTTAGACTGCTTGCATTTGACTACTTCAGAGAGGAGTGCCAAATAATGTGGTTGAAGAAGACAAATTTCATTTCCTAAAAATGCAGTTGCAACATGAGTATTAAAGGCAGTGGGAACTTGCATTGGACTTCTCTGCTCTCTTTGGCAGTGGTTATTATTTTGCTTTATTTTATTTATTTATTTGAGACAGAGTCTCACTCTGTCACCCAGGCTGGAGTGCAATGGTGTGATCTCGGCTCACTGCAACCTCTGCCTCTCAGGTTCAAGCGATTCTTCTGTCTCAGCTTCCTGAGTAGCTGGGACTATAGGCGCCCGCTACTGCCCCTGGCTAATTTTTGTATTTTTAGTGGAGATGGGGTTTTGCCATGTTGTTGAGACTGGTCTCAAACTCCTGACCTCAGGTGATCCACCTGCCTCAGCCTCCCAAAGTGCTGGGATTACAGGCGTGAGCCACCATGCCCAGCCTATAATTTCTTTAAGAGGCAACAAGATAAAGTAGATTTAAAAACTCGATTACCCCTTGAAAGTCTTTAATATTCAGTTTTTCTGAGGAAATATTAGAAAATGTGTTACCTTAAATAGGAACTACAAGAGATAATAAAGTACAGAGCTTTATGTGAAGTTGTGAATATCCTTTATACCAGAGGTTTTTCAAAAAAGTTGACAACGCCCCCTCATTCATTGAGATGCCGTTTCCCAAGTAGGCTCCTGGGCTTGCAGTGCTGAAGCTAACGGAGACCTGGCCTGGCCCCACTGGAGCTCAGGGCTGTGCCCTCATGTGCGTGCTGATGTGGCTGGAGAGTGAGGGAGTATGCAAAGGCCCTTCTGGGCCATGCCTGCGGAGCTGCTGCTTTACCTTTGGGGGAGCTGAAGAGGCTGCATGGAGGAGTGACTGAGGAACCAGCCCGGGCATAATTAGGGCACACAGTGAGGACCGCACAGACCAGGATCAGGGAGTTGTGTGGTTTGGTGTGTCTACTGTAGGTGGTGGTGGCGGTAGGCAGGAGACAGAATTTGGACTTTATTCTCGTAAAGAGCTGGTAATGGGCTCTAAGGCTTTTCAGCAGAGAGATATTCCTAGTGGCTGCGAAGTTGTTTGCTGTGCTAGAGCATGGAGGCAGGAAGATCGATTAGGTAAAAATAGGGAGTTGAAGCAGGAAGTCAGGGTGGCGAGCAGGAGCTGAAATCAAGAGTTGCTGGAGAGTTGTATAATAACCAAAGCTTGTGTGGTTTGAAGCAGAGATCTGGAGCCCAGCTGAAAGAAAGAGATCCATGCTAACAGCTCGATTTGGGGACCCTGGAAATGAGCAGGAATCCAAGGCATCAGAAAGCCAGGGCAGTGCCACAACACAGGGCTGCAGAGAGGGCAGCGGGAGCTGGGTCAGCGCAGGGGCTCGTCAAAAGGTCATAGGCTCTTTTTCCAGCTGATACAAGGACAGAAACACACATACACAAGGTCTGGAGGATTCCTGTGAGACAGCCATACATCCCTGTCACTTCACAATAAGTAAAGGCATTCTTGTTTGAAGGGTAAGAGGAGCATTTTTTTAAAGACAACAGCTACAGATTTCAGCACCCTCAGCATTCAGAACATGTATTTAAACCAGGATAAGCTGTAAATTGTATGATAATCATCCCTGTGTATTTAAACAACACACCATGGGCCTCACCTTTTCCTTCATTCTTTTGGGCGTATTAAAGCACCTCTAAGGTGGATGAGTCAGTCACCTGCAGATCTGAAACTGCTGATTTTGGGAAAACACGTAATGGCTTCCTGGCCTTACCAGAGGGGTTGGGAAATAGCTGGGGACAGCCCAGGCCACCCTTCAGTTAGGGTCACTTCTCTGTTACTTTAAACATTTGACTACTCTTTAACTAATTTATGACTTCTTTTTTCCTTTTATTCCATAGGGTAGAATGGTTTTGAAGAAGAAAAAAACTGCTTTCTGACTGATTGCCTTGAAGGAAAAAAGAACCTATTTTTGTGCATCATTTACCAATCATGCCACACAAGCATTTATTTTTAGTACATTTTATTTTTTCATAAAATTGCTAATGCCAAAGCTTTGTATTAAAAGAAATAAATAATAAAATAAAAAGACTGTGCTGTTGAGTATTATTAACCAGACCTGTGTTTTGAGGGCTGATTTGGAGATCGCAGACCCGGATTGCACTTGTTTGTGTTTCAGAGACAGAATGTGCTCCTGGCTCCCGTGAGAGGAACAGGGACTGACACTTACTCTTGGTGTCTTCACATGGGCTCCTGCCCACATAGGGCGCAAGAGTGGGGACGTGCTGCTGGTGATGCCGCTTAGGGTGGTCAGTTGATTTACTCATTCTTCAACGTGGACATTCACTCTCTAATAATTTCTTCTTTGTGCTTGATCAGCCTTCCCCAGAGCTGCAGCACCCCCAGCAGCAGGGACTTGGAACATTTGCTCCCCACTGTGCTTCTGCACCCAGCAGAGTGCTTTGCGCATAGTAAGTGCTCAATAAATATTTGTGGAATGAAGGAATAAGTGTAAAAAAGATTTTCCAAGCCATACCTAATTAGTAATAAATTATATCTGTCTGAGATCTTTTTTTTTTTTTTTTACCTACTTTGTGTTCTTTTAAAAACAGAAAATTCAAAAAAGTAGGGTGAGAGCAATTTTACATGTGCCAATGAAGTATTTTTGCTTTACTGATGAGGAGAATTTCAAAATATTTTGTTACATTGAATTATATTCTTGAAGGATTTTCAGTATTTGTAAATGTTTGCAGCAGTGAATTCTTAATCTTCTACCTCAGCCTACCTGAGGAGTGAGAACATATATTCCTATTAAAAACGGGTTCACTTCAGTAGTCATGCTCAAATCAGCAGGGGGCTGAAAGGATTTTGGTAATTGAAATATAATTCACATACCATAAAATTACCCTTGTAGACTGTATATTTCAGTTGTTTTTAGTATAGTCACAAAGTTATGCTACCATCATGACTATCAAATTCAAGAACATTTTCATCACGCCATAAAGAAACCTCATACTCATTAACAGTAACTACTCACCCCTGCCAGCCCTGGAAACCTGGAAATCTACTCATTGTTTCTGTGGATTTGCCTGTTCTGGGCATTTCATGTGAATAGAACCATACAGGATGTGGCTTTTTGTGTCTGGCTTCTTTGACTTAGCATAATGTGTTCACAGTTCATACATGTTATAGCATGCGTCAGTACTTCTTTGTGTGGCTGAGTAACACTCCATAGTATGGATGTACCACATTTTGTTCTGCTGATGGACGCTTGACTTGTTCCCACTGTTTGGCTGTTATGAATAATGTTGCTATAAACATTCATGAACAAATTTTGGCATGAATATATATTTTCAGTTCTCTGGATATGTCCCTAGGAGTGCAATTGCTGGATTATGTTATAACTGTATGTTTAACTTCTTGAGAAATTGCCAAAATAGTCTTCAAAGCAGCTACACCATTTTGCATTCTCACCAAGAACGTATGAGGGTTGCAATTTCTTCACAACCTCCCTAACACCAGTGACTGCCTGTCTTTTTTCTTATAGATGTCATAGTGGGTGTGAAGGAGCTGTCTCATGTTTTTAACATGCATTACCCTAGTGACTAAAGATTCAACATCTTTTCGTGTGCTTATGGCCATTTTCTATTTTCTTTGGAGAAATGTCTATCCCAGTGCTTTGCCCATTTTTAAATTGGACTTTTTTGTTGTAAGAGTTCTTTGTATGTTCTAGATACTAGGCCTTTATCAGACAGGTGATTTGAAATATTTTCTCCCATTCTCTATTTATTCACTTTCTTGGTAGTGTCTTTCAAAGCATAAAGTTTTAAATTTGGATGAAGTTGAAAATGTCTGTTTTTTCCTTTGGTTGATTGTACTTTAGATGTCTAAGAAAGTATTACCTAATTTAAGGTCACAATGACTTCTAAGAACAATATGGTCTTTGCTCTTACATTTAGATCTTTGATGATCCATTTTGAGTTAATATTTGTATATGGTGTAAGGTAGAGGTCTTACCTTCATTCTTTTGCATGTGGATGTTCAGTTTTCCCAGTGCCATTTGTTTAAGAGACTTTTTATCCATTAAATGGTCTTGGCACCCTTGTCAAAAATCAATTGATAATAATGTGTGAGTTTATGTCTGGACTCTCAATTCTTCCATTGATTTCATAGTAAGTTTTGAAATTGGGAAGTGTGAGTTCTCCAATTTTGTTCTTTTTCAAGTTTATTTTCTTTATTCAGGGTCCCTTGCATTTCTCAATGAATTTTAGAATCAACTTCTCAATCTCTGTTTAAAAAAAAAAAAAAAAAAACACCTAGGATTTTATAAGGATTGTACTGAATATGTAGATCATTTTAGTTAGCATTGCTGGCTCAACAATATTGCCTTCCAGCTCATGAGCATGGGATATTGTTCCACATGTTTAATTTCTGTAGAACTATGATTAATTTTTGTACATTGATCTTTTATCCTACAACATTGCTGAACTCATTTTTTCAACAATGAGTTCAACATTGCTGAACTCATTATTCTCATTTTTTTGTGGATTCCTTGGGCTTTTCTGTCTACAAGATCATGTCATCTGCACATAGAGATCATTTTTCTTCTTCCTTTCCAATCTGGATGCTTATTTATTTTATTCTCATGCTTAATTGCTCCTGGCTAGAACCTCAAATAGTAGATAGTTGAATGGAAATGGTGCAAACAGACGTCCATGTGTTGTTGTGATCTTGTAGGGAAAAACTTTCCACCTGTCACCACTGATTATGAAGTTAGCTATTAAGACTTTCATAGATTAGATACCCTTTATCAAGTTGAGAAAGTTACCTTCTATTTCTAGCTTACTGAACGTTTTTATCATGAAACAGTTTTTGATTCTGTCAAAAGCTTTGTGTCTATTGAGATGATCATGTGAATTTGCCCTTTATTCTATTCTATCCTATGAATATGATGTATTATATTGATTTTCTTACATGGAACCAATCCTGGGATAAATCCCACTTGGTCATAATGTGCAATCTTTATATTTGCTGGATTTAGTTTGTTAGTATTTTGCCAAGGATTTTTGCATCTATATTTATAAGGAATATTGGTGTGTAATTAATTCTTATGTCCTTATCTGACCTTGGTAGTATAGTGCCATCATATAAACAATTATGAAGTGTTCTTTCCTCTTCTGTTTTTTGGAAGATCTTAGGAAGAATTGTGTTAATTCTTTAGATATTTGGAAGCCATCTGGTCCTGGACTTTTCTTTGTAGGAAGTTTTTTGATTTCCAACTCATTCTCTCCTCACTTAGAGGCCTATTCAGGTTTTCTGTTTATGGTTGAGACAGTTTGAGTCATTTGTATCTTTCTAGGAATTTATCCTTTTTTGTTTTATTGATTTTTCTCTCTTCTATTCTCTATTTCATTAATTTTTACTCAAATCTTGCTTTTTTGTTTTGTTTTTGAGACGTCTCATGTCTCGCTCAGTCACCCAGGCTGGAGTGCAGTGGCACAGTCTCAGCTCACTGCAGCCTTGAACTCCCTGGCTCAAATGATCCTCCTACCTCAGCCTCCCAAAGTGGTAGGATTACAGGCTTCACCCACCACACCTGGCCTTACTCAAATCTTTATTTCCTTTCTTCTACTTGGTTTAGGTTTAGTTTTTTCTTTTTTAAGGTAGAAGGTGAGGTTATTGATTTGAGGTCTTTTTTATTTAATGTAGTTGTTTATAGCTATAAATTTCCCTCTGAGTCCTATTTCACCCGTTTGTAAATTTTGGTATGTTGTGGCTTTTATTTCATCTCTGGTTTCCCGTTATTTCTTCTTTGGCCCATTGGTTATTTAGGAGTATGTTGTTTGAATCCTGTGTGTTCATAAATTTCACAAATTTCCTTCTGTTATAGATTGCCAGTTTCATTCTAAATTCAGTATTGGAGAACATACTTTGTATGATTTCAATCATAAATTTATTAAGGCTTCTCTTATGACCTAACATGGTCTGTCCTGGAGAATGTTCCATGTGCACTTAAGAATGTACATATCTGCTATTGTTGGATAGACTGTTCTGTAGATGTGTATTAGGTCTAGTTAATCGTGTTGTTCAAATCTTCCCTTTCCTTGTTTTTCTTTGTAGTTCTAGAAATTGTTGAATGTGAGTATTATTATCTCTAGTATTGTCGAATTGTCTGTTTCTCCCTTTTATTCTGTCTGTTTTTGCTTCATGCAGTTTGGGGCTCTGTTGTTAGGTGCATATGGGGTTGAAGAGTGTTTAAAGCTGCACTGGTTATTCATACACCTCTATCCATTAAGAGTCCCTGGTTCAGTGGCCCTCCTGGTATTACCAGCCAACTCAGAATGACAAAGTTCAGCCGAGCATGTTTGGCCTTATTTTCTAGAGTGAGCTCTCTTGTATTGATACCTTCCTCAGTAAAAAGGTTTTTCCTCTGGTAATATCTCATAAATTCATGGTATAGTTCCTCCCCACCTGGTTTCGTCTCCGCGGAAATCAAAGCAGTTCTTCCTTTTTCTTTCCTTCTCTCCTTATTTAACGATGATTCATTATTTTCCTTCATCAGCAGTCATCAGAAGATGCTGAAGTACATCAGGAGACGTAGGACTGTTAATGACAGTGTTACTCTTTCTACTAACTTAATGTGCTTTCTTTTCACATTATTTCAAGTCATAGTATTAAGTAAGACTTTAAAAAAATAAATGCTATTCAAGGCCAGATAGAGAATTTTTTGCAAGAGCTAAGAAGTGAAATGAGTGAATTAATAGATTGGGACTTCCCATCAGTCCTAGGGAACATTTGTCATCTGCCATTGAAATTTGAACCTGTTTGTGACTTTGCGATTTAACAGACATTATTAATTTTTCAATTTAATCATGGTCTCAGTAACCATGAAGGTGTATTTTGTGTGCACATGTGCATGCTTGTGCACCTTAAACATGTATTTTTGTTCCTAAAACCAGAAATACAGTTAGTATCAAAATGCAGTTATTTAGGCTGGGTGGGGTGGCTCACACCTGTAATCCCCAACACTTTGGGAGGCTGAGGCAAGTGGATCGCTTGAGCCCAGGGGTTTGATACCAGCCTGGCCAAC